TTTGCGATCAACTGTGTAATTGCAAGTTGGCACACATTCAGCTGCCTGCAAGTACTACTTGAATAAAGATTGTTGTACAAATCTTATCATTGTCTTATGGTTATATTCTTTCTTTTCACATTCTTCTATCTTTTCTTCCAGTTTTTTGAACATGGAAGTCCAGCACAGATTAGAGAACTGGCTGACCAGCTTAATGGCCATGTTTTGGCACTTAGCCTTCAAATGTATGGCTGCCGAGTGATCCAGAAGGTATCCAATTTCTGCTGATTCTTGCTTATTACTAACATGTTAGCATGTTTTTATTCCATTTATGAAAATGTTAGAGTCCCTGCAAAAACTAGTCTGAGTAGATGCCGTTTCTGCTCACCAGAGCTTCGTGATTTAAAATTTAATACCAACTAGTGCTCTAAAACGTATATCTGCACTTGTGTAACACCAGTGTTCAAGTGATTCATTATGCCATAAGACAAATTATTTTAAATGCTTTACTAAGTTCTTATGCTGATGTACTAAAGATTTTCAAAACATTGTGTTGGACCATGTATAGGTCTGATGCTCGCGTTAGAAAATGCAAACCTTTTTTCCAGTGTTCTTGTCCTGTTTCTTTTTTCCCCTTCTCGCCGCCCCTCCCTTTTATCACAATCTCTAGTTTAGATCTGTTCTAATTGGTCTTGTACATCGCTTATTCAGATGGGGCTCTAGTTTTTAACATCTTATGATCTCTGTGGACATATTTGGTCTTTAAGACTTCTTTGTTTGTCCAGGCGATAGAGGTTGTCGATCTAGATCAACAAACAAAAATGGTCGCAGAGCTCGATGGCCATGTTATGCGCTGTGTACGCGATCAGAATGGCAATCATGTAATTCAGAAATGTATTGAATGTATTCCTGAAGACGCCATTCAATTCATTGTTTCAGTTTTCTATGATCAAGTTGTGACATTATCAACTCATCCATATGGTTGTCGGGTTATACAGGTTTCTAACTAGCTACGTTTAATCCTGCAGACACAGAATTCAGGGTTTGGTTTCTCTTATATTAAATGCGAATTATTGATTCTGTTCTAAAATAGTGATGGTTTATGTGACAGCGAGTACTTGAGCATTGCTGTGATGCAAAGACACAAAGCATAGTAATGGATGAAATTCTGCAATCTGTTTGCATGCTAGCACAAGATCAATACGGGAATTATGTTGTTCAGGTTTTGCTCTTTACTTAGATAAATAGCTTCCGATATTGTATTTGGATGTTAGTTCTAAAAATAAAATTTTCATGATAGGTGCCACTTACCATGGGCTCCTGTAAACTTCCAATTTTAGTGTACATGTTTAGTTTGATCATGACTTCTCCATATGAGATGAATAATCTGCTTTATAGAGGATAAGTTTGTAACTCAATATACTTTCCAATCTATCAGCTTATGGTCATGCAGCAACTCTCCAGGAAAATGATGTAAGAGTAACCATAATTGATGGCATTTGAATAAATAATTGATTTGTCAGGAAGTTTCCAAATATTCCAATCTGTAAAGTCCCATTATGTTGTCAAACATACTGTAATCATGGCCACTGCTGCAGTTGAGTCTTCTAGTCGTTAGTGTTGTTACATGGACAAAGATAATGCTACTTCACGGGATTAATTGATACAATTCTCATGTGTATTAGTGTTTATTGGTAATACAGCTATATGAATGCACACAGAACATGCTTGTATGCATGCACATTCTTTTTGGGGTGTATTTATTTGTTTGGACCTCCAAAGTGCTATATGAGCCTCTAAGGAGACTTTCTGTCATTCCCCAGGCATTCTCAAGTTTCTCCTACTTGGCCCCCATTTGTCTGTATGTGTGTATGATCTTTGTCTTTCTTAAGTCTTCTTTTAACATTGTGTGTTCTGACAGCATGTACTAGAGCATGGAAAGCCCGAAGAGCGTACTTCTATAATTACTAAATTAATTGGACAGATAGTCCAGATGAGCCAGCAAAAGTTTGCCTCAAATGTCGTGGAGAAGTGCTTAACTTTTGGAACTGCTGAGGAACGCCAGACCTTAGTGAATGAGATGCTTGGTTCAACTGATGAGAATGAGCCCCTTCAGGTTGGTTATTTTTCACGTGCTTTCTCCAAGAGACTTTGATGGTTTTGGTCAAGCTTGATTTGATACATTCTCTCATTTGTACTTTTTTTTTGGTGTTGGGGGGGGGTGCTAGTTGTTATCATGTGTTCAAGCTCTGTAGCAACCAACACTTACTTTCAACTTATTCTCAAGTTTACCTTTATATGTTTCTTGCTCAGTTTGGTTTAAATTTCTTTATCTGCTTTTGGGTTTTAAATGATTCTCATTCTAATGTAGGTATTCCAGTCCATAAATGGTCAGATATTCTTTAAGATGCAATTTTCTGCCTTAATAGTTATTAATCGTCTCAATTGTCACAAATTTGTGCACAAACAATGGCAATATATGCTTATTGTTTGGGAATCATTCTATGATATCATTATGGTTAAGAGTTAAGATATAGGTGTGCTGACAGTTTACTTTTTTCTTAAAAGAAATTGTTGTGAAACTACGAAAGGGAATGAGAACAGCTGAGGAGGATATCTACTTCCAGGTCCCATTCATGTATTCTGTTGTTTGGAAGAAAGTCGTCTTTTTTTATTTATTTATTTAAATTTTTAGATAGGTTGAGTTCATTAACCTTGTTTGATGCAGTGGACAATTTAATTTCATCTTGCTGTTCTTGGATTAAGTACTAATCTGATAGCATGACTGATATTGTGCTTTTAAGAGCCAATGCAGAGTAAGATGCACTCATTCCAATGTCCTATTCCTACCAGAACATCAACTCAAACTCAGATTCAATAATCCCCTACTCTTTTTTTTTGTTGGGGGGGGGGTTGAAGGTGCAATTGGTTTATTAGATCTGTGAATTCTTTATTTTCCTTTAGAATACCCCAGGTTCTGATTGTATTTATAGGTGCTAATTTATAGATCACGTATGTGTCTAGAAGCAAATGGGATGCATGTTCATGGTTCTCTGCTGCTGTGCATGTGCTATTTCACTAGATTTTTATTTTTGTGGGTTTCATGATATTTTTCTTTTTAATGGGCGTCATAAAGGATTTCTAAGAAATACATGTTCATGACTCATTGTTACATTTTTTAATTTCAGGTAATGATGAAAGACCAGTTTGCTAACTATGTTGTACAGAAAGTGCTGGAGACTTGTGATGACCAGCAACTTGAACTGATTCTTAATCGAATAAAGGTTCATCTGAATGCGCTGAAGAAATATACCTATGGGAAGCATATAGTTGCCCGTGTGGAGAAACTTGTTGCTGCTGGAGGTATATTGATTATTTCATTCATTCTGATTATAATTGACCGATTTATTTGCATCCTGGTATTGTGCGAGGAAAATTATCTTTTGTCCAACTGAATTCTGTCCATCACCCCTCCTAAAACTGAATTTGTCAAGTGATTAACCGAAGGGTACCTGTATTTGGTGGGAGTTGAAGATGCAATACAAAAGTGCACAAGCAAATTAGGGATGGCACATGATATTAACTCTTTGTTGGTATGGGAATTTATGGCCAGAAAAATGTTGGAAGCGCATATTGTGTGACTAAAATTACTTAACCCCCAATGTCACTTTTTGTGGAAATAAACCTATATAAACTGTTTCGAGAAATCTCTTGAACATTACTTATTTGGCTGTTCATGATGGCATAGCACATTCCAGATCCTGTATATATGTTATTCTTGATATATATGCCTGCTCTGGACCATATTCATTGCTCTGTTTATTGTTCTTCTGCAGTCTGTTTGAAATGAGAACATTATATGACTGCCACTGAAGTAATCATACTTCAAAGCTTCATAGAGAATTTCTCTGATGAGGTGTTTGATCTTTTTGCAGAGAGGAGGATAGGCATCCTTTCTTCATGTTCTGCTGCTTAGATGGCATAGGAAGGAAATTGTACAGCTAACAGAGGCTAATATGAGAGCTGCCTTCTTCAATTTTCTTGTCTGGCTTTGGTTCTATCCGTTATTTTGATGGATGGAGCTTTCTAAAAATAAACTTGTTGGTTGTACTTAAAAAACTTGTACATTTTTAGTTTGAATATATACCTAGAATTGGTTAGGTGAGGCTTTGATGGTGAACGAACCTGATGCCCGTGCAGAAATCATAAAATTACTGTATTAAGTTATGTAAGGGTGTAAAGAGGAGGAACGTGTAGTGCAGCGGAGGTCGTGACTGTACAAATCGTGCCATGTGCAGAGCCTGTGGTGTAGTAGGAGGCCAGAAGTTTTCTGATGTATGGATTGGTGGATTTTCGTTAAAAGAATGTTTTTAATCTTCTTATTACTTCTTGAACTTTCAAATATTTCATCATTTCTTGGATAGATTAGGAATGCTTTTTGCTGTTATTAGAGTTCTCTCATAAACGATTGATCCAGCACTTTCTGAGTTAGTTTTCAGGTACACAATCTGATACGTACATTTTATCCTGACGATGGCTTCGATATGCGGAGCTGTTTAGTGTTTTGTCACAAAGATATAGCTCTGAAATACGTAGAAAAGAGTTGTTTCATGTGTTGAGACTGCAAAAAATTAAAGGGAAAAATGGAGGATGCGGTGAGGTATTTTCTCAGTTATCCACCGAGAGAATTGGCGCAGACCTCACAAATGTAGAATTTGATTTATAATCTTAGCCGCATCACGAAAAATCAAGTTCAGTTGCAGCAAAAGTAGGAGCAGAGGGACGTGTCCGGTCAATAAGAATTTCAGTATGCCCTGTAAGTTGATTTATATTCATTAAATTTATTTTTTTCTGCAGCACTTTCGTGATTTGATCAAGTGAGATTAAAATGGTGCCCCCACTCTCCTAACGTTCAGGAAATAGTTATGTAGCCTCAAATTTTCGACGAATATCTTTCCTGGTAATTACATATATCTGGCGACAATTATGCAGTGAGATTGGGGCATAAGAAGATCTCTATGTCAGGAAATTTCAACAATCTAAGAAGATCAGGGACGTACAAAGCAGTAACAAGTAGTAGTAAACTTCCAAAAACAACAAAACATCAGCCCAGCAGAATTAAGGTCAAAGTAGCAGTGGCCCTTAGCGCAATGTTTTGTGAGGAGGGCAAAAGGTTATGACATACCGTGGCGCTCTGCATCTCTTAAGCCCAGCTGATTCATCTTGTGCATAGCTATATGCCCTGGGGCAGATGGCCTTGAACAGATTGGAGAAAACTGTTGGTTTACAACTTCCCCGGCTACCATATTCCCCGGTACAGCAATATCTAGGTGCCTTTGTGGCCAGACAGGCGCTCTTGCATCCCACCACTTTCCCTCGTCTTCTCACCTCCAAGGCCGCAGGACAGCACACATTCACATTTGCCTCACAGGCCGCCACTCCACAGCCAACGCCGCCACCAACCGGAATCATCGAGACGGGGAGGTTGAAACCATCAACCAAACTCACATCATAGTAGTGCAACTGATTCTGTGCAGTTCCTAGCGTCATTTCTACTAGTGTTGCTGGGGGCAGCCCCCCGGTGCCCATGCACTCAAGGAGGCCCGTGCAGTCTCCGGTTTGGCATGAACCTTTACCCTGTTCATCAAAACAGCAGCCTTGCCTGCCCCATATTCTGCCGGACCACTTCTCGGGCACTTCTACCACTATCTGTTCGCCGGTAGACAGATGGAATCCGCCATCGTTCGGGGTCTGATGGCCTGCAGTGCCAAGAATCCCAGGCCATACGCTCTCTTTGCAGTTGTTCACTATTATAAGTTGAATTCCATCTACAACCAAACAAGAGTAAACATGTCAGTGAATTTTTGAATTGGTACAATCTTCGCAGATTAAATCACATGCATTCACTCTCAGGCAGAGAAGGAATTTAGTACTTGACTGGGAGAGTAATGCTAAGAAGCAGAAAATGCCGAAAAAATATAAATTCATTTGCATTTGCTTCAGATTCTGATGGAAAGAAGAGAGTGATGGACGACGATCCTTTACGGTCCTAGGGGAGAAAGATTTGGCCTATAACTTCCTGGAACCGAATGTATAAAAAGAACAGAGAGAGTGGTTAAGAAGGGGTGGGAAGCCCCTGTAAATTAATACAGTTTCTTTCTGTTCCCACTTTTTCTGGACTTTGGATTTTGGATGGTGGACACAGCACAACCGTTTAATTATGCATTATTCTGAAGGCTACTTTTCTATTCCTTTTGTCTCAAAATTATTGCATGATGATGATTCCATACGTTTTAGCCTCAACCTTCTGTATGTATAATCCACTGTAAGTGCAAACTTTCAACGTACTTGGTCCGAAAGTTACTGTTCTTTTTACCCCTTTTAGCTAGCTTAGCTATTCATGGAAAAGTTCATGCGGTAAATTAGTTTTCGTATGAAATTCATGAGTGGAATAATTTTCATTTCTAAAGAAATGACCAAATTAATTTTCAGAAATAAAAAAAATAATTTGAATAAAATTACAAATTTTATTCAATAAGAGAAGTGCATAATTAATAATTTTAGAGACCAGATTGAATGTCATTCTTCACAACATATTATAATTCAGGGTAACTTCAGACTTTGTTGAGCAAACAGCCCATAAATCTGCCCTATAACTTCATTTCTTTTCTTTTGTGTAAAGCATTATTTTTTATTCTTAGTTAGTATATCTTGGTCGTCCTAGAATGTTTGAATCGAGAATTGGTAAGCTCTTTCTTGAAATCAATTAGTCTCAGATGAAATTTAGGATTTTGTGAGCACACATTTCCTCAAGAATTGCCTGATATCATTTGCTATCCCAAGTAAGTAAATACAACTAGGTTTAAACTGTGAACCATGCAGATTATGAGAATTAATAAGCTTCCAGTAAAACGAACAAAGTTAGCTTCATCCGTATCTTGGGAAGTCGACACCTTTGAGAAAACTGCAGTGAAGCGTACAGCGGCGGACATAGTTGAGGGAATCTTTGAACTTGGATCGTCTGGAACATGACAAAGGAGGTTAAACCTACGAGCGATACAGGTGCTTGGTGCATCTTGGTTAAGTGATGTCCTTTTTACTAGCATTAGCCAATAACTTTCGTCAAATCAGTATCAATGGATAAGGATCCGAGAAGGAATAATACAAAATAGCTTTGGGATTGAGGAAGATTCGTTAGCTAAAAGGCACCATATGAGAAAATGCTATGCCTAAACAAAAGAATCATTTGGATAATGCTTTTGCATATCAAAGGATGAGCTGTACTCAAATGCCTTCATGTTTTTAAATGAGAAAGTACTTATAATAGTATTCAAGATCAATAATGGATTGTACCGTCCGATATTCAACGAATCAATAATCATTTTTCACACTTTTGTCATCCCTAATCAATACTACTTTATAGCTAATGGGATTTTTCTCCCTTCTCCTTTATAGCTGAGGCCACAGTTCATTGTAAAGGAAAGTAGGAACTTGGAGCTAGTTTCGATGTTTCATGATCAAGGTCTGTGCTTTGGAAATAGCTTGAGAAAAACAGTTGTGATCTTGAGAGAAGTACTATTAACACACGCAGTTTAACAGGGGATCAAGCAAAATGCCAATAGTTGAAGATTGATACCTGACCTGAGGCAGGGATCTTCTTAGTTGCACCTAAGATGCTTAATTTCATGCATCGAGCCCCTCAAGTGACAAGATGGCACGATGTTCTTTGTCATGGATGCATAAACATGGCCCTTAATCTCGTATCTCCCAGAGGGTTTTTGTGCTAAAAAGGATGAAACAAGTTTAAACCAGAAAAAAAGTAACAAACATGAGTTTGTATGGTGGCCAAGAGCAGCATAAAAGATGTTATGGAAACAGCACAAGTGCATACTCTTTTGTATGCTCGTTTGCATACAAGTAAGTTACAGACTAGTAGCAATTTCTCCGGAAGCCAAGAAATTAGAGTTACACACCAGAATTTCCGGGATACTTGCCTAAATTCCAAGGCGATGGTAACACGATAATATATACTGTATTATTGGGAGGAAGTCCTGCAAAATTTCCGGTTCAGAGAATAATAATAATAATAATAGTAACTTTGCCTAAAAATTTGAGCGCAAAAGGGAAATGGGTTAAACAGAAGAATCGCCGGTTCAGTAGTCGAAATCTGCGGTCTGCGGCCGGATCCAGCTGGCGTCATCAGCGTTTCCGGCTCCTCGGCAGTGGGCAACCGAGTCCTCCGGTTCTACACTCCACAGACCGGCCCACCCAACAATGGCCTTGACCGGTTCTGCACCCATCCAACGGGCCAACGCCCGCATAAAACAAAAAACCCGGACTCCTAATTGAATCCCCTCACGGGCCTGACCGCTGCCCCCAAACCGGTCCATCCGGTCATCCAATCCAATCGACTCTTCACCCACCTATATATTCCTTGTTTCCCAACTCAAACCCTTCCCACCCTTCCCCGACTCGGTCTTTGTCACGAGAAGGATTAGTTGTACTACTACTAAATACGAAATCCGACCGAACCCAAGTAAGTTATGTAATCCCTTTTCCTCTTCTTCATAAAAAATTTGATTATATATTATTTGTACCTTAGCAGAATTAATATTGTTGTACCCCTGGGGATGTTCTTGAAAAGGGGAGCATGTACATTTATGGAGTGATAGATATTTAATGAAGTACAAAGGGCCCTAGTGATTGTTGTGTTATTATGTTTTTGGATGAAAATTAAAACATGACTTCAGATATGGAACTGGTACCTGTGACATCACAAAAACATGATCCTGCATGGAAGCACTGTCAAATGTATAAGAATGGTGAAAGGGTTCAGCTCAAGTGTGTGTATTGTGGGAAGATTTTTAAGGGTGGTGGAATCCATAGGATTAAGGAACATCTAGCTGGGCAAAAGGGTAATGCCTCTAGTTGTTTGAGAGTTCTGCCTGATGTTCGCCTTCTAATGCAAGAGAGCTTGAATGGGGTTGTTATGAAAAAGAGGAAAAAGCAAAAACTTGCTGAAGAAATAACCAATTATAATGTGGATAATGCTAGTGAAGTTGATGCTTTGACTATAAATAATTGCGGTCTAAACACTGAAGTTAACTTGCTTCCTGTCCCAGATACGCTTGAACAGGACTCGAATTTTTTTGTGGGTAGGGAGGAAGGAGGAGGTGGAAATAAAGCAAGTGGTAGGAAGAAGAAGGGGAGAGTTAGAAAAGCATCTAGTTCTGCCAATCCTAATGCAATTGTTGCTTGTAGTAATGCAGCTATAGCTACGAAAAAGGTGAATAATCATGTCCATATGGCAATAGGGCGGTTTTTGTTTGACGTAGGGGTACCTTTAGACGCTGTGAATTCAGTTTATTTCCAACCCATGATTGAGGCGATTGCTTCTCAAGGTGATGGCGTTGTTGGACCATCTTACCATGATCTTCGGAGCTGGATCTTGAAGAATGCAGTTCAAGAAGTTAGAAATGATATTGACCAATACACAGGTTCTTGGGGAAAGACAGGATGTTCTGTATTGGTAGATGAATGGGTTTCAGAAAAAGGTAAAACTTTTTTAAGTTTCTTGGTAAATAGCTCCGAAGGGACAATGTTTTTCAGGTCTGCAGATATAACCAACTTGGTAAACTCTGAGGATTCTCTGTTTGAATTGCTTAAGGAGGTGGTAGAAGAAGTTGGTGTGAGAAATGTGATGCAAGTAATTACTAATAGTGAGGAGCGATATCTTGCTGCCGCTAGAAGACTGACTGATTCTTATCCCTCTGTATTCTGGACTCCTTGTGCTGCTCACTGCATAAGTTTGATGCTGGAGGACATCAGCAGGCTTGAGTGGGTAAAATCAGTACTTGACCAAGCCAGAACAATATCAAGATTCATGTATAATCATAATGTTGTTCTGAACATGATGAGACGGTACACTTTTGGAGTTGATTTAGTTGATCTGGGAATCACTCGCTCTGCAACACATTTTACGACGTTGAAGCGAATGGTTAACATAAGACACAATTTGCAATCCATGGTCACTTCAGAGGAGTGGATGGAGAGCCCATACTCAAAGAAACCAGAGGCATTTGCTGTGCTAGATTATATTGGTAATCAATCATTTTGGTCCACTTGTGCCTTACTTACTCGATTAGTTGATCCACTTTTGAGACTTCTGAGGATAGTTGGAAGCGACAAGAGGCCTGCCATGGGATATGTTTATGCTGGAGTATATCGAGCCAAAGAAACAATTAAGAAAGAACTCACTGATAAGAAGGAATATTCCACGTATTGGGATATTATAGATCATAGATGGGAACAACTTCAGCGTCATCCTCTTCATGCCGCTGGTTTCTACCTAAATCCTAACTTCTTTTACAGTACCGAAGGTGATGTACATCTTCATATCCGTTCACTGGTATATGACTGCATTGAGAAGTTGGTTCCAGACCCAAAATTTCAAGATAAAGTTGTGAAAGAGATAGGTTCTTATCACAATGGTGCTGGAGATTTTGGACGAAAGATGGCTGTTAGAGCTAGAGATACTTTACTTCCAGGTCCGTCTTTATTAAGATCAAATAGTAGCTTCCGTGTCCAGTTATGCTATGTCTTCTGCTGCTGCTACTTCTTGGTTATTTATTTATTTTCCTTTTCCAATGTCAGGCTTGTAGTGAATCCTTGATTCTCACATGTCAATCCATCCATTCAATTTTCTGTATTCTTATACTTAATCATTTTTTGTTTGGGTGTTCAGATTCCCTACTCCCTGATATCAATTGCTATTTTTGTCTCGTGTCAAAGTCATATGACTGTATTTACCTCAATTCATCTTTGTTCCAGGACATTTTCATAGTTAATGTGTGGATACAATCGTCACAAAGTTTGACAAGGATGGAATATAGTCATATGACTTGGTAGTTAGTATTCAAACATAATGGACTCTAATGGGAAATTATGTTAGTTTTATTTCTATCTTGTGTAGCTTCATTTTCTGGGGCAGGTGGAGAGATAGATGAGACTTGAAGGATTTTTGTGTCGTTAATGTCCCTCTTAGTTGTTTGTCTGATATATCTTGTTGGTGTGTATTTTCATCCATGCACTGTACTGAAAGGCTAGTTAACTCATGATATCCTTGTATAAAAATGTGCTTTTATTTGGTTTTCATTTCCACAAGCAGTTGATCTTTCTTTCTTTCTTTTTTTTGGTTCACTTTTTGAATTTTGAATTTGATGGTTGTAG